TATCTACTGTTTTATAAAATACTGAAATATCAAGTCTTGTCATTATATCAATATATTCTACAGATGCTTCACATAAAAATAAATAAAGATCAATTTTCAATTGAAAAGAATTATTAAATTTATTTCCTAAACCAGTTAGTAAATAACAAAATCCAATAAGAAACTTTTTGACATTTTCTAAATTATATGTTGATTTATTAGAAGGTAAAAAGATATCAACTAGTTCATTGAAAAATCCTTTTAATTTTGAATTATTTTGTTTAATTATATTTTTAAAATTTTCAGGATCAAGTTCAATATCTAATTTTAATTGTCTTTATCTTATATATAAAATTTTAAATAATAATTTAATTTTTTCACTAAATTTATTTAAATTATTTTTTTATATAAATTTAATTAATTTTGTATTTCTTTTATTTTATTTATTAATATATTAAAATTTTCATTTGATATATATTTTTATCATTATGATAATTAATATATTATCTGACCAATGATCAAAATTTATATCAATATTGTTAGTTGAATTTTTTAAAATATCAGATAATTTAAATTCTATATATTCATCTTCATCTATAATATTATAAATTTTTTCAAAATCTCCTGATTTTCATTTTTTAATAATATTTCTATTTGATTTTACAATTGATAAATAATGTGAATGTGAATAACAAAACTAATTATTAATTTGAAAATAATTATATACTTCATATTTTTATTTATTATGGCTTTATTTTTAGCAAATTCATTAAATTTTCTAAATGGATCTTGATTTTCACAATTTATAATAGAACATGAACCAATATTTTTGGGTTTTGGTATTTTATATTAAATATGAAATTGAAGATTTTATTTATATTTGTTAATTTATTTATTTTATTTTATACTTTACAAATTTACTTGTCATTTTATAATTTTTTATAGTATTAAAAATTATAAAAAAAATTATCCTTATTAAAAAAGACAAAAAAAAAATATTATTTAATAAAAATAAAGATTATTTTCTTGTTAAAAAAACTTTAAGTTAATTAAACAAAGAATAATTTTTTTTTATTAAAAATAAAAAAACGTTCATTTTTTTAATTAAAAATATATCATGTGTAATATCATGTGCAATGATTTTCAACCAATAAAAATTAATTTTTTATGTGATGATCCCCTCATAAATCACAAATTTTAACCTATAAAATCAAATGTCCACTATGTTTCTGGTGGCTAAGTAAATTTTTAACACCCAGTTCTAACAAAATATATACAAAAAAATAAACAAACTACTATGTAAACCCATCAAAAAATTTCAAATAATTAACATTTGCTTATTTATAATTGCGAAGTAATTATTTTGTTTATTTTTTAAAAAATATAATATATTGGATCTAGACAAGAAAGAAGGTTAATAATATAGTTCAAAAGGGGAGTAGGTAGATAATACTTCATTGTTTTATTAGTTTTGATAATTTTCTGGTATTTTCAGGTACTAAATATTACTTTTGGTTACTTTTAAAACTTTTTTTGCAGTGAAATCAGTTAAAATGAATAATGCAGTACCGTTTATAGATCTAGACAAAAAAGAAGGGTAATTATATAATTTAAAAGGGGTTTACAGAGTAGTAGGTAATACTTATTAGTTTAGATGATTTTCCAGTATTTTTAGGTATTGACTATTACTTTTTTGGTTATTTTTAGAACTATTTTTTTGCAGTAAAATCAGGTGGTGCAATACTTTTATAATCTAGATGAGAAAGAAGGGTAATTATATTATTTTAAAGGGGTCTACAGAGTCATAGGTGGATAATACTTTGCCTATTTTATTAGTTTAGATGATTTTCAAATGTTTTTAATAGGTTTTTATTGTTTCAAGGGAACTATAAACAAGTGGAATCTGTGCATTAAAGAAAATTATTTAAAAGGTTTTGTTAATTACATTATTTATAGATATTATTTTTTTTTGTATATATTATTTTATTAATAATTATCAAATTTGAAATGAAACTGACAAATATTATAATAAAAAAAATAAATTAAATTATTACCAACAAATAAATATTTTATAAACTATTTATAAAATTTTTTAAAAAAAAAACATTTAATGTATTTATTGTATTAATTTAAATTATATATTGAATGGTTATTATAATAAAATTTATTTAACATTTGTTAATAATTAATTTAAATATAACTTGATTTGATTGGCTAATATAAAAATACAGGGGTTTTAAGAATATTAAGGACCCTTATAAAAAATAGGGACTTTTGAATCAGCCGATATGATTATGATCTTAATATTATTTTCGTTGGCTCTACGAAAATGATATCTCAATATATTAGAATGTGCCGTAAATGATTTTTCCCTATTTTCAACTTCAATGATTACACATTTAATAGTTCAATAAAATATTGAGATATGTCAAAAAAATTTAAAGACCTTTTTTCTGATTATATAAAAGATCGAGATTCGGAAAAAGAGATGATTGTCTAGGAAAATTGCAGTTTTGTGTTACAGATGTGTGTGTTCCATATATCAATTTTTTATTAATATTTTATTTTTTCTTTTATCCATACTGTCGCAAAATTTATTATTTAATTTTTAAACCATTGTAAATAAATAAAAAAGTTTATAATTCAACATTCAAGCAAAACTATTATTTAGAGAAATGTCCCTGTCAAATCTAAATAATGCTCTTGCATTAAGGTTACGAGGAGAAACTTATAAAAAGTTAATGAAGCATCAATAGATTTTAGTAAAACATTGGAAAAAAACCAAACAATGCTCTTGCATTAAGATTACGGGGTGAAGCTTATCGAAAGTTAAAAAAGTATAATGGAAACTTATCAAAAGTTAGAAATGTATAATGAAGCATTAATAGATTTTAGTAAGGCACTAAAACAAAAACCAAACAATGCTCTTGCATTGAGATTGCGAGGAGAAATTTATCAAAAGTTAAAAGAGCATGATGAAGCATTAACAGATTTTAATGATTTATTAGAATTAGAACCAAATAATTATCTTGCATTAAGATTACGAGGAGAAACACATCAAAAGTTAGAAGAGTATAATGGAGTATAATGGAGTATTAACAGATTTTAATAGTTTATTAGAAATAAACCAAACAATGTTCTTGTATTAAGATTACGAGGAGAAACTTATAGAAAGTTGGAAAGTGATTATAAAGCGTTAAAGGATTTTAATATTTTATTAGAGATAGAACCAAATAATGCTCTTGCATTAAGATTACGAGGAGAAACATATCAAAAGTTAGAAATTTATAATGAAGCATTGAGAGATTTAATAATTTATTAGAATTAGAACTATATAATTATCTTGTACTAATATTGCGAGGAGAAATCTATCAAAAATTAATAAAGCGCAATGAAGCATTAATAGATTTTATAAATCTTTGGAAATTCAGCCAAATAATCGAGATTTACATAAAATAATTATTGACATGTATAATGAAACATTGGAAATGGAGTCAAATAATGCTCTTACACTTAAATTACGAGGAGAAACAAATCAAAAGTTAGAAAAGTTTTACGAAGCATTAACAGATTTTAATAAATTATTTGAATTAGAACCAAATAATGCTTTTGCATTAAGATTGCGAGGACAAACATATCAAAAATTGGAAAGATATAATGAAGCATTTATGGATTTTAATAATTTATTAGAAATAGAGTCAGATAATGATCTTAACCTAGATATACATGACAAGTATGATAAAATATTAGAAATAATGCTCTTGCACTAAAATCACGAGGAAAAACATATCAAAAGTTAGAAAACTATGATGAAGTGTTAATAGATTTGATAATTTATTAGGATTAGAACCAAATAATGCTCTTGCATTAAGGTCACGAAGGAAAGTCTATCTAAAGTTAGAAAATTATAATGATGCGTTAATAAATTATTAGAATAGAACCAAATAATTATCTTGCATTAAGATTACGAGGAGAAACATATCAAAAGTTGGAAAACATAATGAATCATTAACGAATTTTAATAAAGTATTGGAAATAGAACCAAATAATATTCATGTATTAAGATTACGAAGAAATAAATACAAAATACTAAAAAATATAAAGAGTCACTTGATGATTTTAATAGAATATTGAAAATAAACCCAGATGATATTTTTTTATTAAATCTAATAATAGAAACAGAAAAAAGCAAAAAGCAATCAATAAATGATACCAGGACACCGATATCAGTGGCGGATTCAGACCAGAAATTACTGTTGATACACCAGAGGTATTTGATAATTTAATAAAAAATGTTGGGATTCAAATCCAATTAATAGACCTAATATAACAGAAATTAGGGAGCAATTTATAAATGGTGTTGGAGAAAAGAAAATGAAGAACAATTTATTGAAGCTGAAGACTCAAGAAAAACTTGAGTAAAATTTAAGCTTTTAGGAGAACGGGAAGGAATTAATTGTACAAATTATCATCCAGAAGCCATTTATAGAAGCAGACCTTTAACCCCTTTAGTTATTTCTCATTCAAGTCAAGCAGGTTATGAGATTAATGAGAATGAATTTCGATATTGAAATGATTTTGTGATTTTCCATTCTTTAATAAAATAGTTTTTATAAGTTATTGTTTTGATTTTCTTGTGTCTTAAGAAGAAAAAGATGATAATTTATTAATTTGAGCACGTGAAATTTAAGTATTTTCGTTTTTTTTATAACATTATCTGTTATTTTTTTAATGATAATTTGATTACGTCACAAGAAAAAAGTATTTTAAAAATAATTGATTCGACCGATTAATTATTCTATATACAGCAATTAATATTATTACGACAACAGATTATTCCAATGAAAATGACGAAGAGGAGCTCACCTTTTTCACTTCTCTATATTCCTAAATTCATTACGATTTATGTATAAACATTTATATAGTATAAATTACTATTATTTTTTATATCGAAGTGTAAAGATTACCTCATAATGAAAAATAAAAATTGCTAAATTATAATTTTTTAATAAAAAGAGTCCTTAAAGTGTAATCTTTTCCAGTTCACCCAGAATTGTTCCCGCCTTTTCCCTAATTTTTTCAAAATCAAGTTCGTAATTGTCTTCAGGAGTAATTTCATCCCTTCCTTCGAATGACAATGGAATATAACTTTCAGCAAGACCAAAAAATTCTGCACCTTTACAATATACTTTTTCGTCATATCTATTCTTATCATTAAGATAGATTCTTAAATATTGCTTAATTAAATCATCACGTTCACCTTCAGAATTGGCAATTTGTTCGAGTATGTCTTCGTATACTAAAAGTACGGTTGCACTTAATTTGTATGGTGGTTTTGTAACATATTTGTATTGATCTTCGCTGAGTACCCATCCGGACAATAAGAAATAATCTTTCTCCCCTCCACGATAAACCATAAGACATTGGTACGATGTGTGATCAATTACAAGATACACACTTTGATTTTTATACGTTCCAAGGTAAACATTAACATTATTTTCATTTCTGTTAGTAAATTCTTGAAGTGTTTCTAGAAGTTTTTCCCGATTTCGACTATTCCAGTTATCATCTTGATTGAATCCCCAATCGGTTTTGTGACGACTAAATAAGTGTTGCAATCCTTTTTTGACATAATGTACACGAAACTTGTCAAAATGTGCAAAATCCGGGTTGAGTACATTCAAGTGTGCATAAGTTTTATGCACATTATAAGATTCGTATGTATTTAACCTGATTTGATTTTGACCAGATACGGTTCCAATCCAATGTGTACCAGTAAAAGAATATCGACCATCGGTTAAAGTCTCACGATGGCTATGATTAGAGATATAAAACCAATGACCATTGAGCCAATCTGTATTTTCTTTACTGTTATTCTCATAAAGTCCAATCCAGTCCCACTTTGATGGCGTAATAATGGACCATTCAAATTCGAGATATCCTGATTTTATAATGCACTTTAGGTAACGAATTTCTCTTTCTTCTGATTCATCCATAATTCTTTGGACATGAATGTTTTGTTGATCTTCATCCATGAACGTAATCATTTGAAAATAAAGTGGGTAGAAGAAAATTTCTGAGTGAAAAAATTTTCATTTATATTAGAATTGTCATTGGATTAGTATCCCACCTCTAAAAATAGATTTTTTATTTATCACCAGCGTCACGGTCACGTGGTTGAATTAGTTAGTATATTGAGGTGGCACGAAATTAACCGAAATCACGGGAGATGACAGGAGATGATGTGTCACTGTTTGGATGAATTATCCTTGTGCTTCATCCTTCATCCAAGATAATTGTTTATTCATCCTCCGTGATTATGGATGATGAAGGACGAAGGTAAATAAAGGGTAAGATATAAAATAGCTGCGGAAAAGGGAAGAAAAACGAGAGATTCCTTTATTATTTTTATTTCTTTCTTTATATTTTTGTAATAATTTCAATAATAATAAATATTTAGTGTAGCGGAATAACAAAAGTGATAAGATACGCCAAAGCAGTAATATATTGCTTTTGTCATATTCCGATATTAAGCATTAATAAAATTTAATAAACTATTTCTTTTTATTTCTTGGCAAGTTACATCAAAAGTCTATTCAGTTTTGGTAGTGTGCAAGCGGTAATAAAGATACTTTTACTCCACTTGCTCATTGTACTTTCAGATATTACACGACGTGTAATACACGTACTATATAATCGTGATGTTAGTAAGCAGGTTTAGATCGACTGATTGCCTGACCTTACTACTGATAGAGATATTTTTGTTGTGTAATACTGTAAATTTGAGACTAATTGAACTAACTTTCCCTTTAGTTCTGCACAGACCGTGACAATATGTGAGAAAATTAGGTCGCACGAAAAATACTATCTGCCAATAACAGTTACAAAATTAATGGGCATTAGGCATTATAAAAATCCAAGATCTGTTAAAGTTAATTTAATTGGTTAAAATTTCAATTATAATTTTGGCCGAAATCTTTTATAACTTTGGCCAAATTCATAACGCCGGCCCAAATTCGGTTAAAATTGAAGAATTCAAGTTTTAATTAATACCGATTTCCATTTATCATGTCTCATAAATTAAGTGATACAATATTTCAGGTCTAGAAGGTGATTATCCAAGTGTTATTTCGGCGAGTGTTTTATATTCTTTCCAATTAATCAGAAGCCCAAAGTTACCGTACTTTCAACAATGTTAAATTTTGACAATGACAAATTTACATTAATTTCTCAAGAAATTAACCCAGAAAGCACTAGTAAAGACATAAGAGACAATAAAAACAAAGTGGAAAATGAAGTAAATAGTGAAGTAAATAGCGAAAATTCATTTTTGAAATTTTTTTTATGAATCAGAAAATGAATTAGACAAAAATCGAACTATTTTTGATTTTAACAATGAACTTTTTACCCAAATTATTAGTGAAAATGAAGAAATAGCGATATCGAATTATATATGAGTGAATATGATAATGATATTGAAGCAGAATTAGAATTAGACAGTAGTAATAATAATGAACAAAATTTTGATTATACGTGTGATAAAGAAATTAATGAACTTATACCAGATAATGAAGAATTAATTAATAAAGGAAAAAAATATATAACGTGCAAACACCTGTTTTGCAAGTAATACTTTGTGTAATTATTGATAATATTCAAGGCACAATTAAAAGATGAGGAGCAACATATAAACTTAGAAAATTACGAAATTTATATGGAACATGGCAAATTAATCGAGATACAGTTAAACAAGTTAGAGGTTATTCCGAGTTAGGAGTTTGTAATTCACAGTTTTTATTTGATCAAAATCAAATTCATAATCCTAAAGACAAAAAAATTAAAAAATTTTAATGATGCAACAATCCAACATCGAAGATGTATAGGCTGTGGAAAATATTTAACTTTTTTTTAGCCGTGGTTGGTTAATGGCTGAAATATACAAGTGCTTTGTAATAGTTTAGTGTACTGCAATTCATTGAAACAATCTTCTATAGATTCTTTAATGTTACTTAGTATCATTCCTATCAAAACTTTAGTAAAAAATTTTCATATGTAAGAACCATTGACAATTATTTTCAGGGAGTTTTTTTTTTTTAATTTTAATAAATTTCGGTCGTTTTTATTCACGTCTAATTAAAGTCAAAATTTTCACTAGATACTATGAAAAGTGCTTTTTATTAAAGTTGTAGATATTGTTCTTGGATACAATTTCATATAAGATATCTATCTTTAAAATCCATCGAGTTCGGTATGGTAACGTTCAAAGATTAAATTTTTATTTTTTGTCAATTTTATTTGAAGCGTAATTCTCCATCCGTTGCGTCAATTAGAATTTTAACTTTAGTGATTTTTTTATTAATTTTTATTTGTCCTGTGACTTTTGATACCCACTGTATAGTAATTGAATTTTTTCAGAAAATTAGTTAACAGCAATATCATTTTTACTGGTATTATTTATTCTACTTTGGCAGTGCCATAATATTTGCAATATTGTTATTATAAATAGATTCTGTGAAAAAAATAATCTTTATTTTTTAATCAATAATATTATGTTACTAAAATGTTATATGATTGTTTTCCATAGTCATAACATTGTAAAATCTAATTTTTACAATAATTTATAATTATAATTTGCCAACTATTTAATGTGTTTGTTATTTGTTAAATAAAATTTTAAAGAAATAAGATATATTTAAATTACTAGGATAACAAATCATAAATTAAATTATTTAAAGACAGTATCACTTGCTTTTATGAATTATACTTTTTATTTTTCCTCTGTTAACATATCATCCATGTTTCTGGATTTCTATATAGAAATTTGAATTTAATTAGAACATGGCGAGATATGCCACTTGTTGATAATGATCTTATAGGTTAACCACTATTATCTAAATTAAAATTTAAATTTACTACTACTCAACTCAAGTTAAAACAACCAATCCAAAACATGGACCATTATTATTTTAGAATTGCATATTTGATATCATTTACTCTGCTAAATTATTATGCTAAAGGATTATGACCTCCAATAATTTCAACAGTTCCTTTTCCTTTTGCCACAACGACCGTACGAGCGTGAATATTCCAAATATTTGTGGAGAAAACTACTTTTTAGTTCCACGCAAAATTAATTCAGCGAATAAGTAGTTGTTTTACGGACGGTAAACCCAACTGAAATTTCTGCAGTATGATCTTCAGAAATGTAGTTGAAAAAGTTTCTTTTGGTTCATTTGTACAAGAAGGTAATTCTATAACAAAAACTGATCTTGCTGGTGAGATAATTGTTCTACTGGTCGTTAGGAGCTATTAGATGCTAATTCAAAGTTGTTTATCAATAACTTTTTTATAAGGTTTAATTGAATCTCTGACTTTGTCAACTGAAAGTGAAAATAACGAAAAAGTGGTAAGCATTGTTGTAATGTAATTTTTATTATGAGAAAATTTTCCTTGTCCATTCTTTAAGGTTGGTAGAAAGGGTAGTATTCAGAACAATTCTAACTTGATAACATAATCCAATTTTAACTTCTTTCATTTGCAAATCGACATTGTCATTCATTCGTTTTTATTATTTATTAATTTAATTCATCATCTTCTTCTAATAATGACAATACAATCGACTAACATTTAGATTTATATATCTTCATGTTCTTATAGCCTTCGAAATTCGATTAGCCTTCGAAATTCGATTTAAGTACTTAATCTTCTGGAATTACTTCTATTTCTTCTACTTCTCCTGCTTCTACTACTTCTACTAGTTCTATTGTTTTTTCTGCTTCTTCTAATTCTACTTCTTCTATTTCTACTTCTTTTACTTCTACTTCATCTATTTTCTACTTTTTCTACTACTATTTCATCCATAAGTTCTAATAGTTATTCTAATTCATCTCCCATTTTTTTAGGCTTTTTTTCGAGTTTGGAAGCAGGGCCTTCAGAAAAAGTTTTCTTGGTAATTTTGTACGAGGACGTAATTCTATTACCAAGGCGGATCTTGATGGTAAAATAATTGATTTAACTGGTCGTTCAGGAACTGATAGATGTTGAATAATATCTTCCCAAAGTTGTTTATCAAGAATCTTTTTATAAGGCATAATTTTATCAAAATTTCTGTATTTGAAATATGGAAATAGCGAATAAGTGGTAAACATTGTTATAAAGTGGTTTTAACGTAAGAAAATTTCCCTTGGACCATTCTTCAAGGTTTTTAGGGAGAGTATTATTCTGAGCAATTCCCATAATCCCAAATTTTAACTTCTTCCATTTGTAAATCATCTCGCTTGAGAAGGGATACTAATGCAGACTCAGGAAGAAAAGTGGAATCCGAGTTTTCAAAAGTAAGACTTGGATGCTTTACAATAATATAATTATAATAACTTTCTAAAATTTTGAGGTTGTTTTTGTTAAAAATGGTATGATATATATGAGAAAAGTATGTTTTTAACCAAGAAGCTTTAGTATCAACGAGAAGAGTTTCTAATTTGTTGGTTAATTCATCAAGTTCAAATTAATTAGCAGCTAACATTAAATCAAAAATAAATATTGTTTCTATTACGTTCTCCAAATTAACAATTCCCCCATAAATATAACTACATAAAATAATAAACAAATATATAAAATGATCATAATAATAAAATATAAGCGAAGGTGCTTTATTATTGATAATAACTTACTTGAGAATGATATCAAAAATTTGAGCAGATACACTTGACTTAATAATGGTCTTAATATTATTTTCATTTTTGTTGAATATTTTCTAACTCTTTACGGAAATATAGTGATCGATATTTTAATATGTTTGAATGTGCCGTAAATGATTTTGCCATATTTTCAACTTCAATTATTACGTTATAATCATCTTTATCATTGAGGAGCTCAATTAAGTTTTGAGATAACTTGTCAAAATTTTAAAGACATTTTTATTTTTGCAAATTGTTGAAAACAGACCGACTTATGACAACTTTTATCATTTAACCGTTTATAACTTTCTTGTCCCTCCTTTTTTCTTATTAAATGGTTGTATTGCATTTGATAATGCTTATCTCAACAGTTTTGTGTTACCGATTCTAACTAAAAAATCAACTACTGAAAACAGTAACGATGATATTATAAAGTAAGTGCTACTTTAATAAATTTATTGAATTTTATTAAATATTAAAATATTGATCCTTCCCGGTTAAAATTAAATTTTTCAAAAATTTATAACTCAAGTTTTCAAGTACTTCAAATTTATTGCAATGATATCACGCAAAGCATCCTAACTTTAATTTTCGAATCAATACTGTTACCTCTGATTTTATCTTTATTTTATTAATTATTTTTATATTTTATTTTTATATATTTTATATCATATATTTGTTATTTTATTATTTATTACTATTTATTATTCATTTCTTATTATTATATATATAGTATTACAGTAGATCAATTTAATACAAGCCAGAGTACAAGTTAATATCTCAGTTAAAGTACAAGTTAAATTAATAGTCGAGGTACCAGTTAGGATATTAACATAGATACTAGTGAAGTTTACAATCAGATTACAAGTTAATTTAGCAGTTAAATCTATAATGTATATAAAGGCCGAGAATTCCCTCTACTCAGTCTTCAGTTCATCCTAGTTCTCTAAGTTTTAGTTAGTTTTTAGTTAGGATTTGTTAAGTAATAAAGTTAATATTACAAAATCCTTAGAGTTCCTTGTTTATTGTATTCTTTTGATAATTGATAAACTGTTTGTTCCTATTAACAAGTCTTCATACCACTGTTAATAGTTAAATACACCTCTTTCATAATTGATCATATATAATTCCTTTTACGCATAAACTCTTTTATTGTGATTATTTTATCTTGAGATTAGTATTTTTATAGTTTTATATAGTTTTGTTTATTAGTTTTAGTATTATTTTACCCCGTTGTCTTTGTAAATTGTAGAAGGTTTAACAGATAACAATACTCTTCCAGAAGCAGCTTTAGTATCTAGAATCCAAAATTTGAGATTATGTGAATTGCTCAAAATAAAATTTTGCATTGATGATTGGATTTCTAAAGATTTTCAAATTCTTAAAAATAATTTGCTATCCTATATTCGATATTTTCAAATTTCCAGTGAAAAATATTGTAGATAATTATATCAAAAAAATTTTGATAAAAAATTATGAGCTCATATTTTATGGCATGGCTCCTAAAAAGTTATCACTTCAAAACATCTTGGATTTATAAGAAAGAAGTGATATATGATGTCAACAATAACCCATATTAATTCAATCTTAAACTTCGTGGATGCAGAGATGGATTTAAAAAAGAAGTATTTTAGAATTTATGTGATCTAAAAATAAATATCAAAAATTCTATTATTAGTCGTGTAAAAACCTATTTTAATTATTATAATTTATTTATGAATGGAAATCAATCATTTTACATTTATAAAATTAAAGTTATAAAAACCAATCAAAAAAACAAATGGTAATTTTTAATTAAAATAAATATTTGAATAATATATAACGATAGCTTTTTATTAAAACCATTGAACGACTTATTTTATTTTATTTGAAATTCTTGTGTAGCTAGCAGCAATGTATTTTCATTAGATAAGTAAAAATCTCCGATGTGAAGTAAATTTCATAAATTTGCATCATCGCTAGTTGATCTAACAGCTAATGGGTTATTAAAACTATTAAAACTATAGAGAATTAAAATTAAAGACATGTATATTTATTGTAAGAATAAAATAAAACATAATTTTCATTTTTAATTCTATTTCGAATTGTGAAATAAATGTGTGAATATATCTATGTTAATATGAGAAATAATGAATATGACATCACAATATAAAATATGCAAGAATAAGGTTGAGCCTTTTTCATTTTGACAATTTTCCTTCGATTAAATCATAATTCAAGTATTTCTTTTTCAACAGATTCAACCAAATCTATCATGTTCCTTTTTTAATGTCATCTTATCTCCGGCTAGAGTCAGCCGATTAATATCCGGATTCATGAAAATGGATAATATTCTACATTATCCTTATCGAAATCTATCCCATGACTCTTTTTACTATCATATTCAATAACAAAAATGTCAGAGTCACGGAAGTCTGAAACAATATTTAAAGTGTATATGCAAGACAGCTTCTTTAATGTCATTTATAATTTTTTAAACCTCATTATAACCCAAATTATCACAATTTCATAGCTTTTTGCCCTCAACACATTTCATAACTATCACATGAAATCCAAATCCCAGATTTGAAGCAATTAACAGTTCTGGTACTTTTTCAATTTTATAACATACTGTGTGTGCATGTGCATTGTACATATCTGAAAACTTAACTGACCATTCTTTGTCTCAGCCAAGTGATTCGGGCTAAAGGGTTTAGGAGGTTTAGGAGGGTTTAGAATACAATGGGCTATGGGCGAAACTTTTATTTACTTACTTAGGTTTAGGACTATTAACCTAGGTGAAAAGAAAAGAAAATTAATAATAAAATTAAAAGATAAAAAAATATAGGCAGATTTAGGATGGTTTAGCCCAAATCATTATCTCAGCCTTCCATAGAAGTCATTAGAAAATTTTTCTTTGTAGATGAATTCTCCAACAATTTCAATGTTATGAATATTGAGGAAACCGTTGAAAATCTACAATATTTGTAGTAGAAAGTGACAGTGAATTATAATGTTTCTTCAGTCTATCACCTCCATCTCTCAAGTGTAAGGCCATAAAGAGTTGTGCAATTTTCTCCAAGTGAATTTGATCACTAGTGAAGATGAGAGATTCAAAACTTGTTAGAGGTTCAATAAGTGGTTTTCAACATAAATAGCTCTAATATACATATCCAAGGTCCAACCAAGCCTATAATTAAAAGATGGCAAGTTACACATTTTGAGTATTTTTTTCATTCTTTAATTTAAGTATAAAATTTGAGTAGGAATCAACTACTCAAGTAATTGGATCACATTGACCTATTCAGACTTCATTTTTTATCACAATGAGGAGAGATAATACACTAAGTCATGAAAGATTCCATTGTTTGAAGTTCTATCATCAAGCTGAAGTATCTTTACATCTTTATCAAATAATTCACAAATTATTTCATGAAACTCTTACCGACGATGTTTCTCATCTGAATAAAAATTTCCCACAGTTCTAATTGAGGGTCCATTGATAATGTTCATTATTCATATGTAGTTCTTATTATAAAAATCTATTTTAAAATAAAGAAGAGCAGAATTATATAATATCAATGGTGCGCTGTCACAATTAGAAGGGCAGTAAATAGGAATTTCATGTTCATTATTTTGATGTTCATACAAATAACTGATGTGAAAGATGTTGGGGAAGGATATTTCAGAATTTTCTTCACATTTCTATTCTGTTCTGTAAAGATTAAAAAATGTTAATTAAGACAACAAACACATGCCATAATGCTAATCTTCCTCGTAGTTCCCAACCAAATACTTTCGCTTAGAAGACTCTACAAAAGGTAATGACGTTAAAGATAAAATAGCAGTATAGGTTTGAAACATCTGATATTATTGTAAATATATTACACACAAAAGACTATATTTATTATGAAACACTTTTAGTAACAACAGGTGCTTCTACAATAATGTGTGCCAATAAGAAGCGGGAAGAAAAAAATACAAGATTATTATTAGTAAATTACAAAGCGCAGAGTAAAATAATAATTATCAAAAAAAGTCACATTGAATATCTGCGTGAAACATACTAGAAGCCAATAGATTTCTCAAGTATATAAATTTAACTCTTTTATGACAGGTACTTCATTAGGGTTTTTGGTAATATAGCACATTACTTTACAAAATTCTTTATTTTTGAGTTTCTCTTCATCAGAGATGTTGAAGAGTCAATTTCTTGACAGACCATCGAAGTAGAATCTTCCATACTATTTATAAAAAATAGTTGCATAAGTAATCTGAAGAAAAAAGATAATATAGGTCTCAAAGCTTCTAAAAAGATTTCAAATATGGAAAATGGCAATGACCATATTTTTTGAATTAGTCAAAAAAGTTTATATCTACTTATTTCTTTAATTATTAAACTCATTATTATATTTGATATTTGCTTATTTGTTAATTTATTTTTACCTCATTGTTCATATATTCACTTATTATTTAGTATTTGATATGATCCGCCAATCAATTCAATAATCCATTATTCAAATTACCTTTTTTTTAAATTAGAAAATTCTCAAGAGTCCGTAATCATATTTCAGATTTCCATTCTTAATATTGAATTATTAAAATTTCTTTTTTAAATGAGAAAAATTCGTAGATGATTAATTTATTCTCCATCTTCGAGATGAATGCAAAGATAAAAATTCAAATCGTCTAGATAATGAAAGATTAATTATTCATGACTACTTTTATTTATTATTTTATCTAATTCTATAGTTGATAAGATTATTATTCCGAACAAATATATAAAAAACTTCGCAACAAAATAAAAACAATTACTGCAAAGTCCTTCTAATTGGTTGTTATGGTAAGAATGAACTCTCATTGGTCGAATGATGAAAAATAGAACACAAATAAGTAGGGAGATCGGAGACAGATGTATGGTATTTGAATTATTTCATTATTTATTATAAATTATATTAACGAATCAAAGATCTAAAAATGGTAAAATATATTTTATATACATTCCGATTACTTTAGAATAAAACTATTATCGAACTTTGTGGAGATAATCAAAATAACAAAGTGAATTGAAAAAGGCTTAGTTAATCCTCTATTAAAGGATAATTCTAAAAAAATATAAATTTGAACGTTGCCAAAGTGTTATCAAAATTTTCTTTTTTGGTATGAACAAGTCTCCCTTATGAAAAATAAATAAAATTATTCAATATATTTATCAAAAATTAAATAAATATTAAACAAGTTTGTACAAATTCATGAATAAACCTTTTTATTGGATCTATTTTTTTTTGACTCAGAATAGACCTTACAATTAAATCTTTATTTTAGAAAACATTCCTTATGAATATAAAAAACAAAAATAACAAAATGAAGTTTCATAAATAAATAAAATGGTACAAAGCATTTCTTATTTCTTCCCGTATCTATCCATGTCCGATTTGAGTAAACTACTGCATATTTTTGAATGATAAAATAAAATTATTTTATAACTCAATTATTTGTTAGATTTTACCTTTCGATGTCCTGGTTTCATTATTATGTGAGAAATTAATTCGATATTTAATTTCCTAATAAAAGAGATGATCCATGTAAAGAATATTAACATATTTATATTGATTGACTTCTCAATTATATAAATATGAATGCCTTTCTTATTGTATTTGTTCTTTGATATAGTCATTTATTTAATTTTGATGAATGATTAGCAGACAAGACTATACTTATTAAGAATGATAATAAGATGAAAATAAATTAAATTTAATTCAGGTATATTATTAATACAATATATGTATTATTCATGTTTGTAAAATATATTTATTTAAAATAATAATTATTAAAATAAGTTGAAAAGTTGATAATATATATTGTAATTTCAAATAATTAACCATCATTAAAATTCATTTAATAAATTTTAGAAAATTTCAATGGCACGTAGATTTAATTTAGACAATAAATCTTACTTTACTAATGCTAAAATTCATTTTAATTATATCAAATTTTAAAACAGAAGAAGTTAAATATGTGACAGTGAAGATAAAGGATGGCTTGTAAGGTATACCTCAGAATGAATAGTTTCAGCAGATAATAATTTAAAATCCTCATCTTGCATTCGTTGATCTGCCTTTAAAAACATAAGGAAATTATCTCTACCTTTTATCCGAAATCCATCTGGATACATAATATTTAGAAATCATTTCAGGACGTTTAGATGGATCATATGCCAACATTTTCCCATCAATTCTGCATAAAATTGCGGAGTACCTTTGGTCAAAGTCCATTGAAAATAGCGACAGCTAATTCTGAACTTTGTTTATATTGATATTTATTCAATACTTCTGGTGCAATATATGGTAATACACCATATGCTTCAGAAGATGCAATTTCATTTGCTAATTTGCATAATCCTAAATCTCCTAACTTTAAGAATTTTGTTTTTGAATAATTATTTGCTTCTGTTATCATAAGGTTACCAGTATGAACATCACAATATATAAATCCTGTGCCATGAATGACTTTTAATCCATTGATAAAAGAATCCAATAACCATAACCATTCAATCCAAGGTAATGATTTATTTTGTATAAGAAAATCTCTCAAATTTCCATTTTTCATATATCATAAAACTATAGCATATTCTTTTGTTGTTGATCTTGTGTTATACCCAAAATTGGTAAACATATTTATCTCGACATTGGAAATTTGCAGTTAACTATAGTTACAAAATTATAAATTAAATAAGTTAATATTTATTTATATATTGATATATTAATATATTTCATATTTAACTCTTTTTAAAAATTCAGAACTAAATTTCTTGAGAATTTTTAAGTTTCTTCAAGACAACTTGTTTGATTTATAAAATTCAAATAATTCTTCTGGCATATCTATCCATTCAGTTTTCCAAATACTGCCAAGTCCTCCTTCAGCTAAATATACTATAATTTTAAATTTACTATAATCCATTCACCTCCAAATTTCCCATTCCTTTGCATTTTCATATGTTGGTAACAATAAATAAGACTATACTGTCCTGTAATATTCCCCCTTCAGCAGATTTAAAGTGCCACTGAAATGCTTTTTTTTCATCTTTTTTTTGTTCCAATCCCATTTCTATAACAATAACCAAGATTATTCTGTCCACCACTATTTTCTCCTTCAGGTGATTTCCAAGTACTACTGAAATGCTTTCTCTTCACCTTTTGTTGTTCCAATTCCAAATCTATAAAAATGACCAAGTCTATTCTGACCATCATTATTTCCACCTTCAGCTGATTTCAAGTATCACTGAAATACTTTCTCTTCATCCTTTGTAGTTCCAATCCCATGTTGATAACAATAGCCAAGACTATACTGTCCATCACTATCTCCACCTTCAGCTGATTTGAAGTATGACTGAAATGCTTTTTCTTTTTCTTTTTTTTTGTTTGAATTTCACTGTATTATATATTTTTCATTTCTGTTGAAATTATAATAAATTTTATTGAAGTTTCAAATGGAATACAAATTCTAAAGGCTTTAAAATTTATAATATTGTAAAAAGATTTTTCGAAAAATATATAGAAAAATAAAATCATTAAATAAATATGTTATACTAAATTCAATAATTATGAAATTCCAGAATAATAGAAATTCTAGAAAAAATAAAGGTTCTGAAAGAATATACTATTGAAACAATTAATATTTATTTGAGGGAAACACTTATTCGACAAACTAAAGCATAAAATTAATATAAACGAAATATTATAATATTTAACATAAATCATTGAATGTCTATAATGAATTTTTATAGAATAAAATGTTTATTTTTTTTTTCGCGTGATTAATAAATAAATGCGTGTTATTCATTACACAATTTATTTTAAAAAAAAAACAATTATATATATATTATTACATATTAATATATCACAAGTTCAAAACACTACTTAATTAGATATGGTGGTGGTGAAACTGATACGCATATGGTGTGTGCGGTTTGCAACTTTAAACGTTTCTTTTTTCAAAAAAAATAATAATAATAAATTTCTACACTTCATACTATAAATAAACAAAAAAATTCCATTTATAAAGACGAAATATGCCTAGAATGCAATCGAAAATATGAATTGAAACATTTCCGAAATGATTTTAATAATTGGAAAGTGGACATGACAAAATAGATAAATTCATTCAAGATGCTCAACTAAATGTTAATGAATATTGTGAAGTAATAGAATGGATACCTTATGATAGATTTAAAAATGTTAAACAAATAGGAAGATATGGATTTGGAACAATACATTATGTTTGGTGGATTTATGAACCAATTTATGAATGGGGTGTTGAAAATCAGCAATGGAAAAAAGGTTGTCAAAAGAAGTGGTATTAAAAAAGTTTTATAATTTTATGTTTTAACTATAAATTAAAAATCTTTATATTATTAGACGGGAATTCGCTTAAAAATACATAATATATTTAATTCAGGTTCGATTCAATTTTAACAAGATCCAGAAATATATGATGGTTTAGAATATGCAGAA